ACAGAAAAGCTGAGCCAAGGGACACGCTCTGAACTGAGCTTGCTGACTATAGCTGGAAATAAAACTTTTTTTTTGTTTTGGTTTTTCTCCGGTACCGGGAACCGAACTCATGACCTTGCGCTTGCCAGACAGGCGCTTTTGCCGCTGAGCTAAATCCCCAGCCCCCAAAACTTCTGACATAATTATTTTTAAGAAGAAATAAGCAATGGTCTAAAGATCTATATTTCATGATCTTAGTGAACTAGAAACATGAATATGGTGATTAGAATTGCTCAAGGTGGTGAAAGGCAGCAGGACGGGATACAGGCTCACATGAGAATCAGAGACCCCAGCAACCGATGTGGATGTGCACAGCCACCCTGGAACCTGGATCTCCAGACCAGAGCCCGGATCTCCACGCTGGAACCTGGATCCACGTCGGAACCCAGATGCTCATGGTGGGGTGAAGGGCCGCGCTGGCCCACAAATGTGCTCAATTGGGCCGGGTGGAATCCCCAGGACAAGGACAGAGGAAGAACAAGTAGTAATGAAAAGACAGTAGCTCCAGAGGAGTAAGGGGAGAGCAACCTTAGGGCAACAGGGCTTTTGTGAGAAGAAATAAAAGCAGGTGGAGAGAAGGGGTGACCAAAGGTAATGCTGGAGAGCTTTCCTGAGCTGGAAATAAATAAGCTTCATTCAGAGCTTGACTTACAGAATGGCATCCAAGGCAAATTTGCTAAATAACAATCCCACCAAGGACATAAAGTTATGTCCTTTATTGGTGATTAAAGTAGATAATTAGGAATTAGTACAAGGTAGATAAAGTAGGTAGGACAACTTCCAGACTGACAGCAGCTGTCCCTCAGGGAGGCACTGGTCACCAGCCGGCCAGACATCAGACCTAGGTGCAGCAGTGAACTGTGGAAGACACAGGGCAAATCCTGGTTTTCAGGGAAATCACATGTAGGAGCCTCCAGTTAAACTTTATACAAGGCAGCAAAGCCATTTTTGTGTCAGGCTCCAAAGGGATGCTCCACCTCGTAGTATGATTCTGAGAGAAGCCAAGCCTGAGATCTTAGGACTGGAGGCGTCAGTCACAGCATACACCCTGAATAGGGAAGCAGCCATCGGAATGAAGGTCAGAGAGACTCAGTGGCCAAGGACTGTGACTGAACATCAGTGAGGGTGGTTGTAGACCAAGATGTGGTGTTGGAGCCAAGAGAGGTGTGACAGGTCACCTCACAGCATGCAGGAAGCAGAGACAGAGGGAGCGGGAAAGGGTGGGGACACAAGGTCATTCTGGAGCCTGCTCTCGTGACTGCCCACTCCTAGCGGCTCCTCCTCCTTCACCAGTGCCATGGACTTATCAGTCTGTCAATGGAATAAACCATGGAGGTTCAGAGTCTCGGGAGCCAAGCACCTCCAGAGCCCACCAAGCACTGATGCCTGGGGACCGACCTTCCTCATGTGGGATGTTGGGGACATGACACTCTCTGAGCCATGTGCAGGGCAGGCCATGAGGGCAGGGCGTGCTGGGCACCAGGCCAGGAGCCATGACAATGGCTCTGGGCCATGGTCAGTTGTGGGCTCAGAGAGTGACAGATTTGCTGATGATGCGGCAGGGAGAGGAAGCAGCAAAGTCCAGCCTTGGGCCTGAGCCACTCTGGGGCTGAGTTTTGGGTGGGTGGGGGTGGAGAGGGCATTTGCACAGGTGGGGGCTGCGCAGCCTCAGGGTGGGCCAACTCGGGACCATATGTGGGCCTGTGCTCATCATGGTGGGCACAGTCGTGGGTGACATGTTAGGCTGTGGGAGTTGAGGAAGGCACAGCCTAGGCTGGATGTCACCCTGCGAGGTGGAGAATCCAGCCTGGAGCCTGGTGGGTGTGGGCAGCAGTGTTGGGAATGTAATCAACTCACAGTTTCTTTAGCTGGAGATATATGGCTTCTAGTAACGAAGACCAAATACAGCAGTGGTTGAAATCAGACAGAAGGGCTCCCCTAGCCTGGTCATGTAAAATAGGGTATGTGGTCAGGGACCTCACAGTAGCCCCACAGATATGGGGCAGAAGTACCTTTATCTTTACATTTTGCCACCATTAGATGTGACTTCAGTCTTTGAGGTCAACTCTGAGTCTGTGATGGCTGCAGGAGCTCCAGACATCATGTCTATATTTTCACACCAAGGAAGACAAGGGACAGAAGAGTAAGGAAGGCTTCTGGCACTTGGTAGTCTCTGTCCTAACTGCTTCACCGGACGTTCCACTCGCAACTTCCATTCCATCTCTGTGGCCGTCCGCTGTCTAAAGGGAGGCTGCACAGTATGGGTTTCTGATGCTGCCTCATTCATGTGTGCATTTGTTTATCTATGAACTATGTAAGCGAGCACTCGTGAGGTGGTGTGCTTGGGCCGCACACCTGGGCACAGGAGGGAGGGTGGCCTGGATAAGAGATGACACTTGTCATTGATGCTGACCCGATGGTGAGGACCTGGATGAGAGGAGCTCTTGTGTAACAGATGCGCAGGACTGTACCCCGCAGGATCTCTTGGCAGGCTCACAGGCCTTCAGTCTCGCTGACTGGCCAGCCCCGTGCAGGAAGCTGCAAGACAATGAGCCGCTGTGCCCTGCCTGCCGCCCTAGGGGATTTCCCCTGGGGGATGTGGAATGTTTAGTGCGCCGGCCCAGCCCCTGATTTATGAAGTACCTTAAAAATAGTTCTTACCTAGAGATAAAATATGGCCCAGATTCTTTGGGTACAATGACCATTGTGCTTGTCGATGACTTCAGCTACAGTTATTTGGGACATGTATTATGTTCATCACGAACACTTAATAAAACTGTCTGCCTAGCCACCCCCAGTTTCTGAGCAGAATTTCCTCTAGAAGGACAAGGAAATGGTTCCTGTCTTACCTGTAACAGGTGATGGATGAAATTATCCTGGTTACATAGCCCATGGTTACACACCCCTACCCCATGACAACATTGCCCTGGTTAAGCATCTGCCCTGCCGCATGACATCTCCATCTGGACCTCAGCCTCCTACCTGTCACTTCTGGATGGACCTGGTGATGGAGCTGTGCTTCCTTTGTGTGGCTAAGTGCCACATGTCCCTTCTACATCAGTAGAAGCAGGCGGGCTGCCAGCTCTGCTCCACCTGCAGGCCTGGGCAGGTCCCTCGTGCCTGTCAGGTGGGCACTGTGAGGGCCCCAAGTCTTCCCTTGGTCCCCAAGTCTCTAGTATGGTCACTAGAGACTGAGACACAGAGCCTGCTATGTGTCGCGGATGGCCCATGGGCTCAGTCTTGGTGTCCTGTGTTTCGTGGGCTTGGACAGCTGTCTAATGACCTAGACCCTCACCCTAGTGTCACATGGGGACTTCCCTGCCCTAAAATCCTCTGCTCTTTCCATCTCTTCACTGTCTCCACAGTTTTGCCTTTTCCACAGAGCCATCAAGTTAGGGATATGTGACCGCCGTTCCTAAACCCCTTCGTGTCTTCTCAGGGCTTCCTAGCTCATTTTTTCTCCATGTTGAATAGCAGTTTTTATTTAGGGGGCGGGTGACAGTGCGTCCATTCACCTGCTACAGACATCTTGGGCGTTTCTGGGTTGTTGCAGTTATGAAGAAGGGAGTCACAAACATCGAGTGAGGGTTTTCCAGTGTCACTTTCTTCATCAGCCACATGTAGGGGTTTGGGAAGCGTTGGACCTGGCCAGACACACAGAGCATGGGCATTCACTCAGTGAGCAGCAGACCCCTAACTCATTTCTGGCTAGTGTGGTTACTGTTCCCTTGGCTAATGGCAGGCAAACATGAGACCAGCTTCAGGGTCTCCTTACCGGGGAGCGACAGGGGTCAGAAGTAATGTGAGTGTCTAGAGCAGAGAGTAGGGACAGAAAATGGTATGAAATGGCACAATTTGTACTTCTCAGGGTTTGTGGGAGTATGGGGGGAGGGAAGAGGTGAGTGGGGGAGGGAAGAGGTGAGGGGGGGTGGGTTTAGTTCACGGCCCTAACATCAGGGACTTAAAGAGGGTGTCTGCTAGCAGGCACCTGGTCTAAAACAGGAGTCCTGGGAGGTACAGTCAAGAGTACAAAGGGACAAGTTATGAGAAATGTCACAGCACGGAGGGGTGGGAGGAACCTGACGCTCAAGTTTGGTGCCCTGAAGGTGGCCAGCATCCTCTCCCAGCACGATGGTTATGCACGTCTTTGAGGGATGTGGTGGGGGAGGCCCGGGCTCCTGGCCATCGGATTAGACTCCAGTGCCGACGCTCCCCAGAGAGGTCACTCAGCTCTGATCCTCTGTGCAGAGAGGTGCTGAGCACACCACACAGGACTTCCTTGGGTCACAGTTATGAAGCACTTGGAGGCTGCTGCCAACCTGGTGGGTGTTTTTGAGGTGGGGTGCCCTGGCAAGGGGGCACCTGGTACCACTTGTCCTGGGAACCACTGCCCGGAGCAACTATTCCCACTGTTACTGAGGTGCTCGATGGAGCTGAAATCCATTTCTTTGTCAAACGCCGAGCACAGAGGACCTGGAAGTTGAGCAGGTTTTGGGCTGCAGTGAGGACATTTTGAGACGTGCGACATGACTGCAGATGCTCCTCACCCTCCAATAGTTCTGCCTGGGAAAGGAAATGCTAGGTCAGCGGTTGGGCCTGAGCCTGTGGGACAGTAACAGGGTGGCATCTTCTGACTGTGGGCTCACTGTGCTGAGGGTTGAGAGAGATCAACACACTGCACGTGCATGCCCAGGAAAAGATCAGAATGTAAAATTTTTTCCACTGTCTACTGAGTGCTTGTCATTCTCCCATCATTGTGAAGTTGAACCACTGCCAGTCAGGAACCATCCCATACGGATGTGGGTCCAGCATCAGCTTCTTGTGTGTGGTGCTTGTCTGTGTCCATCACAGGTCCAAGAGTGCACGGAGGCTCAGGCTGCCTCTCGGGGCTGGTGATGTGTGAGCAGCAAGGAATTCGTCTGTAGGTGGCACTGCGGGGCTCACTGGGGAAGCACAGGAAATCTGGCGGAAAGGTCTTACAAGCATTTTCAGCTACAAATCCACAAGTTTAAGTTGCCATAGAAACGTGAGAGGGCAGAATCCCCGGAGACTGGCTGACAGGTCCATCTGGGCAGACTGTTGTCAGGTGAGTGAAGTGGCTGAGGCGGGGCTCGAACAGGGCTTGAGGAGCTGTGGTGGGGTGGATGGGTCGCATATGGGCGTGGAGGGAGAAGATGCTCAGCCTTTCCCACGAGGGGCAGCAGGACAAGCACATGGCAGCTTGTGGCAGAGCCCAACGTGCAACGATAGAAGAGGGCAAGGAGCCAGCAGAGCCAAGGCGGCAGGACCTGGCCTGAGGGGAGAGGGAGGGGAGAAAGGGAAAGAGCTAGGGATTCAGGAAGGACAGTGCTGAGCCCGGCCATGCGGAGATTATTTCAGCAGGTGATAAAGGAAACAGAAATCTTCAGAGTGGAGGGCAGGCTGATAGGGAAAGGAGAAAAGAAATGAAAGGAGAAGATAACTTAATGAATTCTTAGAAGAAAGCATTGAAGAGGAAGTGGGAGAGGACAAGCTCTCGAGGTTGCTGAAAGGGCTGAGGAGGTCCTGATTCATGGTTCTCTTTTTTTTATTTTAAAAATAAAAGGGGGAAACATTAACAGACAGACAACCTTTTACAAAATAGCAAAAGAACAGTACAGAAAATACAGAGTTACAAACAAAGTGGTAGGAAATTAACAGTGCTTGTTGTATTACCTATTGATATCTTCAGAGTGATTTGGGTTTTGGATCAGAGTTTTGCTGTAAACCTGAGTTGTGTTTAGCTGCTCCAGGTCGGAGGGCAGGGGGCAGTAGAGGAAGTGACCCTGGAAGTAAGAGGCTGAGGGAGGGACCTGGGGTCTAGGGTGCTGGGCAGAAAGGAGATGGAGGGACTGTCACTGTGAGGAGATGACTGGCTTGAGATGCCTCTGCAGGGTCGTGTTGCACTGTGGCAAGAGGTCAGATGAGCTCTCAAGGGTTCCCCAGCAGGTGGAACCATAGAGCCACTGGGGCCTGGATCAGGATCACCCTCCTAAGGCAGCCTCCTGGCTCCTGAGGGAGTGTGGGATGGATGAAGGCAGAGCAGGAACCCAAGGACCCTGGCTCTTCACGCGTCTTGAAGTGATGCAGTTACAATGAGGCTGGACAGCACCCGTGGAAGGCAGCATGACTCCCCTTCAGACACAGCCCAGGTGAGGCAGGGTGGGAGAGATATAGATAGGTAGAAGGGGGTAAGGAAAAGTATAATCTTAAAATTTACTTTTAATGAAAACTGCAGCTTCAGGACACAAACCCAGAGGAAATTCTGAAGGGCCTTAAAGACCATAAGTTATACACCGGCCCTGGGCATGGCCTTTGTGTAAACTATGCCCTCTCCTGCCAAGCCTGACTTTGATAAGCCACTGTGGAGAAGACAGCAGACTTCAGCACCAGGTGTAAATGGATTGCACCTAACACAGCCCACCCAGTGGGAGAGCCCGACAGACCCCAGGACATGTCCTTTGTGGGAAGTGTAGGGACACCCAGTCCCTGTAAATACACCGGCTCGAGGCCATGAGCCACCTCTGCCTGAGGCCGCACTCTTTCTTTGAGTGTGGACTATAAAAGTCTGCCCAATAAACCTCTTCATGCTTTTTACTGTTGTGTCCTGAAATTCCTTTTCTGTGGGGGAAAGTCAGCATACCTGTACTCTACCCAGTGGGTGGGAGCAGTCTTGTCCCTATCTATGCACTAGGGACCTCCTCAGACCCTGTCCTGTGACATAGAAACAGGTTTTACGAGGCTGAGTTTAAAAATCTTTATTTAGAAATAATTTTAGACAGCTAGAAAATTTGCAAAATAGTATAGCGAGTTCCTGAACCCAGTTTTCACCCGTATCAATGTCTTACAGAACCTTAATGTAGACTCCAAAACAAACTATGGCCCCAGTGTTGAAGAAATAGCAGGATTTGTTTGTGCTTAGGACCTTTGCACCGACATCCTCCCATCCCAGGGCCCCGCCCAAGTCCCAGCTGTGAATCCCCTTGGCCTTCTCCCATCCACAACAGGTTCAGTTTCCTTTATTTTTCATGACCTTGCCACTGGGGCAGGACTCTGGCTTGTCCTCCTGTGGGAGTGTCAGGAGATCGGCAAGTCCAGGAGAGTGGGCTGATGGGTCCTCCCTCTTGTCCCAAGATGGGGCAGGTCCCGAGGTGGCTCCTAAGTAGGGCCTTTCTGTCCTTCTAATACTTGTGTTCCCAGGGCTTAGAAGATGGTGCTCAACATGTACCTATCTTTGAAGCTGGAGGACACAGGTGCATATTGAGCGCTGCTGTCTTCCAAGCCGTAGGACACAGGTGTGAGCAGACAGAAAGCCCTGCTCAGGAGCTACCCCTGCCATTGGGAGCCACCCTGGGGACTGGGAGCCATCCTGGGACCTGCCCCACAGAGCTACCCATCACTAGGATCAGAAATGGGACCGAGTTCCAGGTTTCTAGGCACTACGGGCTATAAGCCTGAGGGCAATGGATGACAGTGTCAAGCTCCAAACTGCTGAGATCCTTCTAAGGTTGTCAGGCCTCCAGTCTCAAAAGTGGGAACCTATTTTCTTTTCTTTGCTCAACCCCTGAATTCACAGGGTGGGGGTCACAGTGCTTATTCCTGACATGTTTTCTTCCCAGCAATGGCAGAACTTTCCCCTGGCCAGAGGAACATTCTCTAGAGGCTAGGAAACCCTGCCTTGGATATGGATGATCCTCATGCACAGGTGGCCCTCAACTGTGGAACAAACAAAGTCACTGCCTAACTTTGAGGCATGTAGAGACAGTGGGAAGATTGTTTAGACTGGTACCTGGCACAGGGCTCCAGAAAGGCTGAGAAGTTTCCTTGTTCCTTCAAATAATCTCATACTCAAAAATGTGACTTCCTGATTCCCAGCACCATCAAGGACGCCTGAGTCGGAGAGGGAGTAGGTCACAAGCTCTTTGCCAGGCAGGTATGAAGAGTGTTCTTGTTTGGAGCACAGGGAGGTTGGATGAAAGCCTCCTTTCTGGATTTTCTCATGTTTGTAGTGGAAGAGGCTGAGAATGAACCAGAGCATGAGCTGGGCTGGACCTTGCGGATCATAAATGGTTTGCATCCTCCACTCCCCTGATGACCTCAACATGACTTATTTGGCTTTCAGGCCTTTTCTGGATGTGTCTCCCAGTCCTCTGGGAGACTCACCTGTGGAAAGGCAGAGATGCATCTCAAGACTATGTTGCAGCCACCAGCCCTTTGGCCTTCGGTGAGCAGTGCTGCAGGACGGTGAGACCCAAAGGCCTCATTTCACCCACATATTCTCACTGTGCCCCTGCTCTGCCAGAGGAGGCCTAGGTAGGTTGAAGCAGAACAAAATGAATCCCATGTGGCCTCAGCCTTCAAGGAGCTGTGAGAGGTCAGTATCAGGAGCCATAAGCCCCCATGCAGAGGAGGCAGCTCATAAAGACCAGCATCACAACCAGTGATGTTAGCAGGGCAGTGATGGTAAACAAATCCAAAGGCAATTTTTACAAAAGACAAATGAGACATGCAAAACCTGGCTCTCTTAAAAGCCCTATTCATATACAGATTACTAGAAAACTTGAATACATAAAAGGAGAGAAAACAAAGTTCACCACAGATATGAATGAAATCTTAAAAGTTATATGTAATTTCTTTTGTGACTCAATAAGATTAAATAGGACAGATATAAGAAATGATTTTTAAAAGAAAAATGTAAATCACTGTCCTGCTTGTGCTGTCCAAAGTCCTTGTATTAAAATCCTAATGTCCAAGGTCATGAAGGTGGTACCCTCACCCATGGGATTGGCGCCCTTACACAAGAGGGCCAAGAGAAATTTGTGCCCATCCACCATTCCAGGACATGGTGGAAAGGTGCCATCTATGGAAGCACAAAGCAAACTTGACCACGCAAGGAGTCTGCTGACCCCTTGATCTTGGACTTCCCCTGCTCCAGAACTATAAGAAATACATTTCTGTGTTTATAAGCAATCTAATCTATACTGTTTTGTGATAGCAACCACCAAAATTAGACAACCATCAAAATTAACCCAAGAAGGAATAAAATACTAAACAGATCAAAAACCACAAAATAAGTAGGAAAAATACTTGGATAACTTCCATGAAAAACTCAATGAATTTTGAAAGTTACTTTCTAGTTATGCTATTAAGATTGCATAATTTTATGTCTGATTTAAACTGATCCAGATCATAGAAAATACTGAAAATTTCTACAGTTTGTTTTATAAAGCTACCAAAATCATAATTCAAAAACCCATAAAAAATAGACCATTTTACTTATGATTATAAATAAAAATCAAAATAAATTACCTAGATCTATCTGACAGTGTATTCATAGAACTATATAATATAATTCAGTATTATTTTTCATGGTAAAATTATCCCTGGAATGGAGGGAGGAGATATTAGAAAAGCACTCCAAGAAATAACTGTCAAAAATTTCCAAATATTGGCAAAGCCTGCAAAGCTACAGAGTTCAACAGGGTAAGTGAACCCAGAAGAATAAACCCAAAGAAATCCATGCCAGGAATGACACAGGCAAAACTTGGAAAAGTAAAAACAGAGGAGAAACTTCAGTAGCAGTGAGGGAATGCATCCTCACCTCTCAGGGAAAAGTCAAAGCAGCATCGGAGTCACAAAGGCGAAACTAAGGAGACCAGAAAGAAGCAACATGTGGGTCAAATGCTGATACAAGGAACTGTTGAGCTGTAATCCTATATGGCTTATTGTGAAATATGTGCTAGGAATGAGGAAAAACCATGTGTTCGAGATGAAGGAAAATGAAGGGAATTTGTTGCCACCAGATCTAACATCAAAGAATGGCTAAAGAAAGTTCTCTGCACAGGAAATGATGAAGGAAGAGGTCTGAGACCATCAAGAGGAGGAATACGATGGACCGAGATGTGGTCAGATGCAATGGATTTTTTTTTTTTTTTGCAATGGACATCTTTTAAGTTTTATAATTTATGTTTGAAATCGAAGCAAAAAGGACAGCCAATGTTATCCCAAATGCATGTCAAAGGATGTTGGTAGGAAGGAAGGGAGGCCCTCAGAACCCTGTACACTATCAGTACCTATCGAGAGTAACCTTGCAGAGCTCATGTGGATAGAGCTGGCCACCACATGGGGAGACGAGTCAAGGAAAACATCTGAGTCTTGGTAGGAACAGCAGGCTCTCTGGCATTGTACTGACCCAGTTTCATCTTCCTTCTCCCACTCTGCTGTTGCCTAGGAAACTGATAGTCCACAGCAATAGGGAAGCCAGCAGCCTGGAAGTCCCCCCACCCCTGGGCCAGAATGAAACTGGCACGCCTCCAAGACCCCTCCCAGGAACACAGCCACCACGGACCTGCTGTGCTTTCCCACTCGCAAGAGTTGTCCCTGTTTAATCCAAAGCAGATCCTGTCTGGTTCCGTCAACCTTGTCCCTGGGAATTTATCAAAAGCCTTCAGCAGTGATGGTGTAGCGTCACAGATGGCTGCGGTGGTGACAACAGTTGGAGCAGACAACAAACTGACCATAAACCTCAGCAGTATGAGCTGGAGAATGAGGTGTTCGAGGCAGACCCTACAAAGCCCCGGCACATTCCTGGACTCTTGGAGGGCCCTGCACACACACAGCTGCGCACATGTCCAAGGCCCTGTGTGTCCTTGGGGAAAAGCTGAGGAGGAAGAAGTTCTCAGCTCTCACTTCTTGGTGACCTCGAAGCAGAGGAGGGCCAAGGTGAAGTCCTCAGCTCTGGGGTTGAGTTTGGAAGTAGTTTCCAGAATGCATGCAGAGCTCTTTAGCAAAGACATGGAGACTCATCATTCAGGCTGTTAAGGAAATAGACACAGTCACTGGTGGCCACCAGGCTAACTGAACAGAGAAGGCTGGGTCACTGAGTTCACAGTGCTAGTGCAGGAAAGTCACCAAAAAAACAGTAGCATCAACTATAAAGAGCAGTAAAAATTAATCCTGCATAGTGGAGAGACTCTTACTTCCAGAGCAGCCACATTACAGTATTCAAATGTTCGGTCTCACCATGCAAAGAAGTAGTAAAATATGATCCATGTATAGGGAGAAAGGCATTCAGTAGAAATCATTCTTGAGGAAGTCCATGCTTGTACATTGTACTGAGACCTGAATTAGCTATTTACATGTTCAAAGTACTAGGGAAACCACATCTAAAGAATGAAAGCATGGGGCGCATATCTCACTAAATAGAGCACATCAATCATAGAGAAGAGCCAACAGAAATTCTGAAGTTGAGAATGATAATATCTGAAATAAAATTCACTAGTGAGGCTCAACAGCAGATCTGAGTTGGCAGGAGAATTAGTGAACATAAAGATAGGTCAACTGAGAATACGCAGTCTCAGGAATGGAAAGGGGAAATAATGAAGAAAAATGAACAGACCCTGAGAGACCTGTGGGGCAGCATTAAGCACACAAAGCATGCACAACTTTAGCCCCAGAAGGAGAGGAGGGGAGGGCAAGAGGAAAGAGATGTGGAGAAACAGCGGCTGAAAACTTCCCAACTTTTAAATAAAGCCTTTATTTGTACTTCCAAGAAGCTCAGTAAGAGTGATAAATTCAGAAAGTCCACCCCCAGACAC